CAACTGTGCTCAGCTCTAAAACCAGCCAATAGGGGTGCTGGCCCTTACAACTCTCAGAGCCAGAGAACTTGGAGGTGACATCCACACTGGAGAATTCCACTGCTTTCTCCCTAGAATAAATGCTGACCATCATTTTGTTTTACATTTTAATTTTAGGTTGGAAAACTTACCAATCAAATGTGGTTTCAGATATTATACAATATATAAAATTCTAAGTTGGTTCTTCAGCAAACACTAAGCAACAGCACAGGAAATGAATGCAATTTGGGTGGGGTATGGATATGGAGCTGAAGAATATAGCTCCAAGATGGCTCTGCAGTCCCACCCCTCAGCAAGGTGAAGACAAGGTTGGAGCTGAATAGGAATTGCATTCCAATGTCCAACATTCTATGAGCATGTCCTCTGTGGGGCTCATCCAACCTCAAACAGCTACTTCTAAAAATATATTTTTTGTACACATTGCTGCAATATCATTATAAACTGTAACAGGTGCTAAAAAGGGAAAAAATGTAATACCCAAATGAGTGAGATAATTTAGATTAAGAAAAAGGTATCCAGAAAAGCCCCTCTAAGGGGCCCAAGTCTTAAAGAAGAAAACAAGAGTCAGCCATCCATTCTCAACTAGAGGAAATAACATGTGCAAAATGCATGCATGGATAGAGTACTGACCTGCCAGAACCATCTAGATTTTGATGACCAATGGGACACTGAGATGGACGAGGCTCCAAGCAGCCAGTGCCAGATCACTTTAATTCTAACAGACAAAGGTAGGAAGATGGGAACTTACGCTAACAAAATGAAATACATGAAGGCGAGAAAGGAGAAGTGTTAGGATTCCATTTACAGGTTGCTAGTCAGAGAAGGATTTCAGAAAAGTGGTCAAAATGTACACAGATTCTTAGGGAGCTAAAAAGGAGCTAAGAAGCTTGACCTGGAAGGTGGCTGTGACAATGAAGGAAAAACAACAGGCTGAGTATAAAGCATCTAGAACAATACTATGCAAACATTCATTCAGTACTGCTGGAAACCTCCAGGGTTATATCCTATCTTTGGCTCTGAAGGCTTAGGAGTAAACAAAACGTGACTCTATGTCAACAGAATTTAAGTGGGATGAAGCAGCAGCAGAAAAAATAAATTCAAACATCTAGGCAGCAATAAGTGCTCTGTTAAAAATTAAAAAAAAAAAAGGAAAAGTAACATGAACCACTTAAGTGACTAGGAAGGGCCACTAGGGAGTGGTAACAAATTTGATGAACTCCTAAAATCCAATCCAGATAGACTACCATGAAACAGACTGAGGTTTATGTTCACCTCTTTTCAACCTCTAATATCCTGCCAGCAAGAAGTAAACTGCAGAAATCCAAGACAGACTGCAGGTGAGCAACTAAGATGCTGAACCCATATGGAGGCAGAGAATTTGCAAGGAAAAATCTGCTGAGAGATACAATGAGAATTCTGGGAAATAGAACACATGTCCTTATTCTGACCTCCTTTCTTTGTACCTTTTATCTCAAGGGTATAAAGAATCTGCTGAAATACATCTGTCATACTAAAGATAGGATTTTATATGCCATGGCCTAAAAATGGTCGAAACCAGCAGGTTCATTTTACAAATCCTGCAATAAAAAGGAACTATGATTTTCAAGAAAAAAAAAGTAACTTCCACAGTGTCCTCTGCCCAACTTCCCTTGGCCCCAATGAACTGGTTCAGCCTAACAACTTTATACAGCCTCTGTAACTCTTAGTTACAGAGGGGTATACTTTGTGACAAAATTTCACATTGAGTGGCTCCCTGGAAGTTCTGTGAACAGAGTTCTAAAGCACACACTGCTTCTGAGATTCTCCTATGACCCTAAAAAGTGTCTGGGAACGCAGTGGACACAGTAAGTGTCCAGGCACAGATAGCACATGATAAAAATGTGTACAGGAAGAAAAGATAACACTTATGCTTCTGCCCTTGATTAGCAGTAAATAATAGCAGCTACCACTAGACTATTCAGACCCAATCCATCCAAATGATCACCATGATTTGACATAATCTGAAAAGAGTCAGATTTGTTGGTTCTGTGCAAGAAGAGAGCCCAGGTAATATTAACTAACCCAGCTAATATTAACTCTAAGACTCACAACAACCTTTAAAGATGCATTATTACCATAAATTAACTCATCAGGAAATTAAAGCTCAGAGAATTACCTTTCTCAAAGTCACAGGACTAATAAACCACAGTCAATGTAACCCCCTAACCAATCCTCCAAAGCAAGTCAGAATATCCACACCCCATGCCATGCCCATTAACCTAATTTCTAGACATTTTAAATCAGTCATTTACAAGCTTTTTTTAATTACAGGAAAAAAACTTTCCTTCAAATAAAATGTTACTAAACCACATGAACTATTTGGG